GTAGTAACACCGAAATCCAATATCTCACATTTCTGACATCCAGCATGAGGCACATTTAGTTTATGGTACTACCAGAATGTAAACAAACATGGCTGACAGCTGTATTTCCAGTTGTAAAGTATTGTATTTTGGCACCTCCACTTCCTGACTGGCCCTTATTTGCAATAGAGAAGGGTTGAGTCAACTTTGTAAATAAATGTCCCTGAAAATTTACTTTCTGTAAATCAGAGCTTGTGGTTTACTGTTGAAATGTAGAATGTCAAAATTAATTTGGGAAAGTAAAAATACGAAAATTAAATTCAACGCTATCAAAAGCAACAAAATGAAAAAAAAAGAAATTGGTAAGCATGATTCCATTGTCCTTTAATATTTGGATAAAAATCGTTTTGAAAAATCGATCTATGGCCTATGGCCTGGTTATCTACCTAGGAATAAGTCACATTTTAGACACGTTAGTATATAACTTAACAATCATCACATAAGTGTGCGTGGTCACCATAATCAACCATAATTATATTGCATAAGTAACCAAGCCTCTACCCAGCTTCGTGACGCGGCTGGAAAGAGTAGAAACTGGCGAAATAGAGAGAGTTGGTTTGCTAGCTGTACTCTCTTCAAGTAGCCGCCTCCCGAAGCCTGGTAGAGGCTACAAGGAACCATAAGTATGAAGTCCGTAGTCCAAAGGGTTTAAAGTACAAAGGTCACTTTGTCCACAGTTGCTAAACTGCACTATAGTCCGCCTACACGACTGTTGAAAAAAAGACAAGGAATCTTTTAAATAGGTTAGTAAGAGGTTTTCCCTGGTTCCAATTTGTTACGGAATCATAATGTAAAATCCTCCCCTCGCTGTGAAAGATGTGTTTCTCCTTTACGTACTTCCAGGTATTGTTTATGGTGTGTTTGTGCCCCCCCCCTCTCTGTCTTTGTCTGTCTGTCTCTCTCTCTTTGTGTGTGTGGGTATGTGTGTGTGTGTGTCTGTGTGTGTTTATGTGTCTGTGTGTGTGTGTCTGTGTGTAGGTGTTTGTGTGTGTGTGTGTGTGTGCGTGTGTGTCTGTGTGTGTCTGTGTGAGTGAGTGAGTGAGTGAGTGAGTGAGTGAGTGAGTGAGTGAGTGAGTGTCTGTGTGTGTGTGTGTGTGTGTGTGTGTGTGTGACTTCCCTGAAGTCTGCTGAACTCTCCGATTTCTTCTTCAATCAAGAAGGTTAAACCTCCTTGGTTCAATATAGTATCTAGGAAGCAAGCGTCTTATTTACATAGACGATAGACGACAAGCGTTTCTGGGTGAGATACTGTAAGACGTTAGACT